AGGAGACGGTGCCCGTGCGCAATCCCGGTGCTGCGGCCCCGCCGCAGACCCAGTTTGGTCTGGTCAATACCAGGTCTGTGCTGAACAAAACTTTTATTCTTCAGGATTTTTTTATTAAACATGATTTGAGTTTTCTGTGCATCTGTGAGTCCTGGATCCCGTTTGGTGACTCAAGCACCCTGCTGGAGCTGGTACCACCTGGCTGCTCCTGTTTTAATATCCCTAGATCGCGGGGCAGAGGTGGTGAGCTGGTTGTGGTTTTAAAATCCAGCTTTCCTTGTAAACAGCTTACACCCGCCATGTCATTTTCTTCCTTTGAACTGTGTCTATTTGAACTGTGCATCTCCCCCCGCCTGCTCTCCGTGCTGATTGATCGCCCTCCAAAGACTGACTCTAACTTCCTAAATGATTTCTGTGATCTTGTGGCAGACTGCATCCTAAAATATGACTATGTCCTGTTTTGGTGATTTTAACATCTGCTGTCCTGACAATGTGCTTGCTAAAGGTTTTTTGAATTTGCTAGATTCATTCAATTTAACTCAATGGTTATCGTCCCCAACTCATGCCAGGGGTCACACCCTGGACCTGGTTGCTTATCTGGATGCAGTGAGGGTTGCTAGAACTGCCTATTTTGCAGACATCCTCAAAACAAACTCTAAGAATCCCAAGATTCTCTACAAAACACTGAACTCTGTTCTGGTGTATCAGGAGCCCAGCTTCCTGTCCACTACAGCTGCTGGAAACTCTGAAGATTTTCACAAATTCTTTGTTCATAAAGTATCAGGCATTAGAGCAGCTATTTCTGGTAACTCTATTGACCCTGTTCCAGTTCCTCCATCACCACCCACCCTGAGCTCCCTCAATACCGTTTCTTATTCTGAGCTGAGTAAGCTTGTTGCAAGGCAGAAGCCATCTGGCTCTCCACTTGAGGTCCTGCCGCCTCATCTCTGGAAGGCTGCCTTTCCGTGTCTTGGCCCATCACTTGGTCAGATTACCAATGGGAGCCTCAGCACAGGTGTGGTCCCAGCTGCTTTGAAAGCAGCAGTTGTTAGGCCGACCCTGAAGAAACCTGGTGCTGATGTCTCTGTGATCGAAAATTACAGGCCTATCTCTACCCTGCCTTTTACATTGAAACTGCTTGAGAAAGTCATTTATCAGCAGCTGGTTTCACATTTAGCAGACTCTGATCTGTTTGAGATTTCCCAATCAGGGTTCAGGTCTGGCCATATTACTGAGTCGGCTCTACTGAGGGTCTTAAATGATATCAATCTATCACTAGATCAGGGTACTTCTGTGGTGCTTCTGTTTTTAGATCTGACGGCAGCGTTTGACACAGTTGACCAGGCGGTTCTACTTGGTTGCTTGGAACGATGGGTTGGGATCAAAGGGTCTGTTCTGGAGTGGTTTAGATCGTATCTCCACAACAGAACATTCTGTGTTAACACTAGAACTCCCAGCATTTTCTGATTCCCCCAGCTCTACCAGAGCTTTGTCAAATAACTGCTTGGTTTGATAACAATGACTAAATCACTGATCGTTAGCTGCCTTTCATTTGTAAATGCAGCCAGCCACAGATGAGGTCCAATGGAATGTGCTTGGGTGTTGGGGGTTGTCAGTCTTTCAGGCTGGCCCAGTGGCTCTGCTTGTCTCTCTTCCGTCTTGAATCTGGTTAACTGAACTTGTCCAACCAAAGACTTCACAGAAGCACACAAATGACAAGAAAGGATTTTTTATGTAGCGTTTAATAAAAACAAAGCATGAGTCGCTTCAAAAAGACTACATTTACTGCAGCTGGCAGAGGCAGAGATTTTTTCTATTGATACACGGAATTTACAGAATCATTTTAAATTTTAATAGGGGAAGACTGCAGGAGGGAGCGGTAAATACAGGGGGTCCCCACCAAAACAAGAAACTTTACAAGTCTGATGAAACCCGCTGGTTTTCCATCAGGCAGTCACGGGGCAGCTCCAACGACCCAGTGGCTGTGCTGGGTCAATGTTATCGAGCTCAGTCCGGCTCGGCCCTGAACGAGCCGAGGCGGCGTCGTGCTCTGCTTAAGAAGAGGTGTTATTTTCCCGCTTCAGAAGAAGCGTCCAACCTGTTTTTACGCTTTCTCCGAGACATGTCACGTCGCTAAGTTGTTAGCGCCGCGCGCTAACACGTCAATAGAGCAGCGTAGCTGCTGGAGGTTTTAAGGGTTCAGATGAAAACACCCGACCTCTCACGCTGCTCACACATCGATCTTAAGTTGTCACCGTTGCGCTCACGCCGTAATACGGTATTAGATGCGGTTAAAGTCAGACATGAAAAAATAAATAAATTTTACATGAATAAGTGATGCTTAGCCTGGTGGGGGGAGGAGAACCTGGCCTAGTAAGCACTGGAGGAAACCCTGTCAAGATCGTCAACACTCGTTTATCTTAATGCTATTAAATCATGTAAACCACAAAGCATTATATCCACTGCTACCTTTCTAATTTTAAACTCAGTAACTTATGCTGTAACTTCACCTTGCCCTGCCTGCTCCTCCTTGCTGCCCGCCAGCTGTGATCACAAGCGACAACATAGTAGTTCCCGCTGCTTCTTCGGGAAACAGCTCAAAATAAATAAATAAATAAAACTTGGGATCTTGTAGGTGTGGCGGTGGGATTTCAGCCATGGCGGGCCGCCACGGCTACGCCTATGTAAGGGAAACCCTGTGCTTTTATTTTCAATTTATTCATCATGTTTCACATTTCTCATGCACCATGTTCAGCGCCTTGGGCTTCCCGACAGGCGCTTTATAAATAAAGCTTTGATTGATTGATGTGGCATTACAAAATAAAGTGCAATCAAGTCATTAATGATTATTTTTACTAATTCCATGGTAATTTCTCAAAAACTGTTTCATTCCGCAACATCAATCCACTTCATTCTTAAGAGTACACATCGAGCACTACATCCTCCCCAAATTTCATAAAGATCTGATGTGGCATTTCAAAATAAAGTGCAGTGAAACTAGTCAGTAATGACAATTTTCACTATATTCCACGGCTGATTTCTCAAAAACTGTTTGATTCCGCAACATCATTCCACATCTGCCTTAAAGTACACATAGACGACTACATCCTCACAAAATTTCTGATGTATCATCAGGTCTAGGGATGGGTACCGAATTCGGTACTTTTTAAGGTACCGACCGAATTCCATAGTACCGACCGAGCACCGATTCACGTCGTTTCAAACGGTGCCTCGTTTCGGTACCCATCCATCATAATGAGAACTTGCCTAGACAGCTGCGCATGCGCAAGAGCGTTATGTCGTCGGTCCCTGCGAGTGAGTTGTAAACAGAGCAGCATGGTAGAAAGAGCGCACGCTAACGCTTGGGTCCACTTCACTAAATGTGATGGGTAACTGGGTGATGAAACCAGCGACAGACAACGATCTAAGTGAGTCATCCTCATCTTAATCTGTTCCGGTAGGTAAATAAAATGTTTAAGATAACGTTACCTTGATATGTTAGCTTCCGTTTCGCTAATGGTGCGTTCGCTTTCTCCTCGGAACTCCGAATTTCCGACTAGAAGAACATGAACGCGCTCTAAAGTTTGGCTTCACTTTACTAAATGCGACGGGTGATTGGGTGAAGAAGAAACCAGCGACAACGATCTAAGTGTGAGGCATCATCGTTTTAATCTGCTCCAGCAGTTAAATAAACTGTTAAAGATAACGTTAGCTTAATATGTTAGCTTCCATTGCCACCGTTGTTATCAGCTAATGGTGCGTTCGCTTTCTCCTCGGAAATTCTAACTTCCCAGTAGGAAAAATCAAATGAAAAAAGACGGCAAAAGGAATGAAGATACTCAGTAAATTTAGTTCACAGTAAAGATATTTGCTTCAGTTTAATTATCAGCTTATAAAACTACAAGGACGATGTTAAAATACAAACAGTTGAATGTTATTTATCAAATATTGTTATATATAGAGAAAAATATATATTTAATTATAAAAGAGAATTAAAATAAACACTCAAAAGTATCGAAAATTGGTACCGTTAAGTACCGGTATCGATTCGTAGGTACCGGGAATTAGTACCGGATCGATTCAAATGTCAAAGGTACCCATCCCTAATCAGGTCTTAATAAAATTTGCAGAGGATGTAGTCCTCGATGTGTACTCTAAGACTGATAAACAACACAACACTAGGAATGATGTTGTGGAATCAGACAGTTTTTGAGAAATTAACCATTGAATATAGTGAAAATTGACTCTAAAGTCATATTTGATTGCACTTTATTTTGAAATGCCACATCAGATCCTTATGAAAGTTGGGGAGGATTTAGCAGTCGGTGTGTACTTTAAGACTGATGTGGAATGATGTTGTGGAATCAGACAGTTTTTGAGAAAGAAACCATTGAATATGGTGAAAATTGTCTTTAAAGTTAAATTTGCACTTCATTTAGACCGTTTTTGAGAATGAAACCATTGAATTTAGTGATAATTGTCAAGAATTTTCACTTTCTTTTGAAATCCCACATCAGATCAGGATGAAAGGGAGGGGAGGGATAAGAATTGCAAAGTAGACAAATGTGTTTATTCTTTTAATTTAAAGTATTTTTAAATGGATAAAATCATAAAAAAACATGGTTTTATCTTGCACACAATTTTACACAAACACGTTTATATCGTGTTCATTATTTTAATTAAAAGTATTTTTAAATAGATAAAATCATAAAACGCAGTTTTATCGTAGACACAATTTTACACAAACGTTCAAATGTGTTTTGAGCGCTTTTATTTTGAAAGGCACTCTAACGAGGACACCGTAATTTATCTTGTAGTTGCGCCCGTAAAAATCGAAAGACGGCTGGCTAGAAGGCAGTCAGAAAACTGAGGTCCGCTTGCTGGAGATGATCTACACAAGAAAGCAGCTTTCTACACACCTTAAATAATAACAGGACAGGACCCCGGGCAAAATTATTGTCCCAGTCCGTCTCTGCACGAGTCCCGCTGGTGTTTCATACCTGCTCCGTGTGAGCTGCTCTGTGGTTCCCAGCTCACATCCGACAGTCTGCGCTGATCACCGAGCCCTTCCTCGAACTGGGCCAAGGCTTCTTCAACCTTCGTGATGAGTTTTCTAGCAGTAGCTACTTGCTTGTTGACAAAGTCCATCAGAGACTCTCCTGAATACATGGTTAACCCAGAGACTCAACATTCACCTCATACAACAAGCTAACTTTGCCAACAGTCCTTTACATCTTCTTCGTCTTAGTTTTGGTTGGCGCTCGGAGAACAATGAACGTGTTACCGCCACCTGCTGGTCAGGACAAGAACGACACCAAGTGAGAACTAAGTACAAATCCAAAATATAAACTTTCTTTCATTGTAAAAACCAGGGTTCAAAATTAACCTTTATGATCATCACCTTGGATTTCCACTAGCCATTTTTTTCTGCAGTCAAAAAAGAGATTATGAATGCCACTGAATGAAGATTTTGTCATTTTATTAACACTGCTGTTGTCAAAAACGCACACATACTGCAATACACACATATAGAAAGTGCAACATTGATTTATTTTTCCCCACTGTATCTCTTTCCTCTGAATCAAACATCCTCATCCTCAGAGCTCTCTGAACTTGTTTCTTTTTCTGCATCTGAGTAAGCATCACTTTCTTTTGTTGCATTTTTGCGCACAAATTCAGGCCTGCGTCTGCGCAAACTGTCAGCATGCCAGATGTCAATGGCTTTGGTTGGATCAAAGTCTTTAATGTCAGGTGAGCACAACTGGGTTTTCAGGAGGTCAGAGAGGGTCTCACCTTTCAGAATCAGAAAAACTTTATTTATCCCCGAGGGGCAATTAAAAAAATAATAATAATAACAGCAGAGCAGCATGATGTTGGACATACGAACATTGAATAAATGGCAATAAGGAAGTAATAAAGCAGCAAGAAGATGGATAAAACAGTAAAATATGCAAAAATCACTGAGTAAGTGAATCAAGTGACTAAAGTGTTGTCTGTATAAAAGTTAAATATATGGAGAGCCCAAGGAGAGGGTTTATCAGGGGATGGTCTTATCTGCTGGCATTAAAGAGCAGAATGGCTTTGGGGACAAAGGTGACTCCTCCTCTCAGTCTTGCAGGAAATGCAGCGTAGGCGTCGCCCAGAGGGGAGCCATTGAAATGCGGGGTGAGGAATGTGAGAGGGGTTGTGGAGGATTTTGGCTGCCTGTCTCAGGGCTTGTTGATAGAAAACCTGAGCAAGAGTTCTGACAGGCAGGCCCACGATTTTGGAACACACTGATGTAGTGTGCTGCAGTCTGTTCCTGTTCTGGAGGCTAAGAGAGTAGAACCAGCAAGTGATGGAGAAGGTCATGATGCTTTCCAGGAAGGCACAGTAAAAAGTCATCATGACTGAGGAGCTGACTCCAAAGGAGTTGAGCTTCCTAAGGAGATATAACTGTTGGTGGCACTTCCTGAGAATCTCCTCTGTGTTAGCAGAGAATTTCAGGAGGTTGTCAAAGGTGGTTCCCAGATACTTGTACTCCTCCACTACCTCCACTGGGTTCCCATGGATAATGGTGGTGACTGAAGCAGCCGGATCCCTCGGTCTCCTGCAGAAGGTCACCACCATGTCTTTGGTTTTGCTCACATTCAGTTCAAGTTTGGAGCTGTCACACCATTCTACAAACTCCTGAAGAGCAGGTCTGTGGTGTTGTGAGGAACCTGACAACAGTGATAGGAGGACTGTATCATCAGCGTATTTCACCAGGTGACAGTTGGGATGTGTGGATCTGCAGTTGTTGGTGTAGAGGATGTAGAGCGGGGGGAGAGCACACAGCCCTGGGGGGAGCCGGTGGAGGTGGAACGGAGACCGGAGAGACAGTTGTTGACCCAAACTTTCTGAGTGCTGTTGGTTAAAAAGTCCAGTATCCACAGGGTTAACTGGTCATCTAAATGAAATTGGGAGGAAAGTTTAGTAGCCAGGATGTGAGGCTGCAGAGTGTTGAATGCTGATGAAAAGTCAACAAACAGAAGTCTGGCGGAGGAGTCAGGGAGCTCCAGATGTTTGTGGATGGAGTCCAGGATGAAGATTTTTGCATCATCGGCGCCTCTGCGTGCACGATAAGCAAACTGGAGTGGATCCATCAGGGGCTCAGTTGCTCTTACAATGTGCTCTTTTATGATCTTCTCCATGGCCTTCATCACCAAGGAGGTTAGAGCTACAGGACGAAGATCGTTAGGAGACTTTGGGCGTGAACGCCAGTCACTCTTTACCTGCTTCATGACACTGAACCCTCTTTCACAGTCAGCTGTACTTGCAGGAATGGTGAGGAGAGCATCAAAGAGGTAAAGGACGTCAGGACACCGATGGCGCAGCATTCTGTTCACAGTAGGCCAGGTTTTCTCAAAAGTTCCTGCAGAAGGGTCAGACAAAATTACAGTCTAGTAAGCAATAGTTTAAAATGCTGCTTTATATATTATTTTAAATACATAATTAGATTTGTAATGCATGGAAGCCCATTCCCGCCACTCAGATAAAATAAAAAAAATTATTATCTCATAATTATGACTTAGCTATCTAATAATAATGAGATACTATCTCATTACTATGACTTAGCTATCTCATAATTATGAGATACTATCTCATTATTATGACTTAGTATCTCATAATTATGACTTAGCTATCTCATAATAATGAGATAGTATCTCATTATTATGACTTAGTATCTCATTATTATGACTTAGTATCTCATTATTATGACTTAGCTATCTCATAATTATGAGGATCTGGGTGTGGGTTTGGCTTGATAGACAGAAATGGATATCAGTAACATCATTGAGCAATATTTCAGAAGTGGTTTTTCCAATCGTGAAATCTTACAACTTTTGGAAGAATCCCACAATGTGAAATTAAGCCTTCGCACATTAGAGAGACGCTTGCAAAAGTTGCGGCTTTGGAGAAGAAGAAACAAGACAGATGAAGCTGAAGTGGCATCTTTCATTCAGCAACAACTACAAGGATCTGGTAGACAGCATGGCTACAGGTGGATGCACCAGAAATGCTGGATGGCTGGGATAGTCACCGACAGGGAAACAGTACGTGTTCTGATGCGCATGATGGATCCAACTGGGGTTGAGCTGCGTGCTCAAAACCGTTTGAGGCGACGCTCTTATGTCAGTCGTGGCCCACATTATGTATGGCACATTGATGGCTACGACAAGCTCAAACCTTATGGTATTTGTATTAATGGCTGCATAGATGGCTTCTCAAGGAAAATTATCTGGTTGGAAGCATATAAAACCAACAGTGACCCTCGCATCATTGCTGGCTATTTCATTGATTCTCTGGTGGAATGGAATGGATGTCCACAAAAGGTCAGAGTGGATCATGGCACAGAAAACACTCATGTGGTGGTGATGCAAAGATTTCTGCACAACACTGAAAATGAAAATGGTTTTGACTCTGCTATCCTCGGCCCGAGCACTGGAAATCAAAGGATAGAACGATGGTGGTGCACCTTAAGAAGTGAATGTGCCCAGTTTTGGATGGATCATTTTGACCAGCTGAAAGCTGATGGGTTTTTTGTTGACAGCTTTCTGGACAAATCACTGATCCAGTTTTGCTTCCTACAAACAATACAGGTAATAGAAATGTATTTCTTACATTCTTGCAGCACAGAAATATGTAAATATTTCTAAATAATAAAACAATATTTTATTTTCTAATTTTACTATTCTTTTTTTGGTCATTGTACAGGTGGAACTGGATGAGGTTGTCTATGCTTGGAATGACCATCGCATACGATCTACTAACAATCCTCGAGCTCCTAGTGGTCGTCCAACAATAATGCATGCTGTCCCCAACCTTTATGGGGTTCCAAATTTTCTCCAGCCTGTGAGTCCAACAAAGCTGGAAATATGTCTAGAGGAGTGTTATTTCAAGGATTTTCCCTGTGATGTAGACGTATTTCACTTGTGCACTGAACTCATGTCTGAGCACAGACTGGTAATGTCAGATGATGTTTATGAAATTACTAATCTGTATGTAAATCTCCGTCAAATGATTAGCGATGGGCTGAGGGAATAGATTATCTATATCACATACTCCCCAAATCCAACAAGGCTGGTTTTATTTCAGCATCGCCTGTGTTATGGTACAAACTTTGTGATTGTAAGTGGGCTAAAATACACAAGTGAGATATGACTTGTTTCTGTGCTTTATTCAAAGAGTGATGGAATTTAGTGTTTACTTTAAAGTGTAGGTCAAAACCTACCAACAGAATTCCTTAGAATTTAATTTATGTTAGCCTTTTGTTTAAAAAAACACTCAATAATGCCAAAATGTTCAGGTTATCCCTTTTCTTATTCTTACCAGCTCAGGACACTGGTGGTTATATGGACAGTGGGGTTACAAGTACAGTGTATTTGGTTGTTCTTAGCAAAAAACTGTTATATATATATATATATATATATATATATATATATATATATATATAATAGTTTGTACTTTTGTTACCGTTCAGTTTGTAGAAGCATAAATGTTGTAATATGGTACTTTCATATTTATATTTCAGAGATTTTGTGATACTTAATATTTTAGTTTATATACAGTGCAATTGCTACTCAATAAAGAAGAGTACATTGTAATCAGAATGTATTTATTTTGGAACATCCAACAAAAAAAAATCCATCCATCTTTTGGACATTTTTGAAAATTAAAGTCATGTGCTTAAAGAAATCTTTGTTTGTGTGCACATACATATCATTATACATGACACTAAATGTGCTTAAACAACATTTAATTGTGCCCTCTTTAATTTGTTTGTTAGCTGAGAACTTCAAAACATGTTCCAGTGATTTTCAAACGCTACCTCTAAAAGTCAATGTGTCAGCAACCCATGTACATCTTACCAGTGACAGAACAAAAGCCACCTGCATTTTTGCTCGCTGCCATTGTAGCCGTCTTCATAGGCATATTTGTATCTCCTTATTGTTTGCAGGACTAAACATAAAAAACTTGAACATGAGAAGTAAAATACTCCTACTTCTTCAGATAAGATTTTTGGCAGCAATTTTTTTGGCTATTAAGCTTAAATCCTTTATATTTTACAAAAACAAATAACCATTGCCAAGCAAAATTAAAAGACCATTAAACATTTGTTTAAGCAAAATCTTACAAAACCATCTAAGTTTTCATTAGCTTAGAGTAATATGGCCCTGCTACAGAAAATGTGGACAGTGTCAGTTCAGTGCAAACAATCTGACAATTCAACTTATGTAAGAAACTTAATTTATAACAAAAATGTTGCAATCATAATTTTGAACAATGATGCAAGCACAGTATAGTGTAATTTCTTTTACATCAGAAAGGTCTAATGTTGTTATAAAAACCTGACACTATGACATTGGAAAATATGGGAAAAAAATAAAATAAACACCTCACTTGTTGATAGAAATAAACTGTTTGTTTTGAAGAGCCACCTTAGCTTTTTTCACCTTTCTCTTTGAGAGAAAAAAACTTTAAACAATGTCCATGACCCATACATTAGAATCCAAAACTTTGTTCATTTCAGCACTGAAATCTGGATAGTTGTTATAATAGACTGACAGCTCCAGGACACAGCCACATGTGTGAGCCACCGGTCTTCTCAGAAACCCTTGGATCTTGTTGAACTCGATACTTATTCTCTTGTCCAGGAACAAGTCTGACCCTGTGCAGAATCTTAGAAACAAGGACAGATGCTGCAAATCTGCATTCCTTATGTATGTGGTTACATACCTTTGAATGGCCGTCTGATGGACATTCATTTCCTCAGGAAAGTCGAGGGACTTCAAAACTTTTCTTACATTTGGTTGCAAGTTTTCATATACTGAAGAAATGTCCTTCAAGCTGTTCTCAGTGATGCTGAGTATTTTTGCCCATTGTTCAATAACAAAGGCCGGCTCTTGGACAAGTGTTTTGTGTGCAAGTTCCTGTAGGATTTCGTCAGAGGTGGAAAGAGTACTAAAATGTTGTACTTAAGTACAAGTATAATTACTTTCATGAAATTTTACTCAATTACAAGTAAAATTACCTGCCTCAAAATGTACTCAAGTAAAAGTAAAAAGTAGCTTATTTCAAATGTAGTCAGAGTAAAAGTTACTTAGTTACTTTTTTGACTGTGCTAGGACGGGCTCTTCTGAATAGTTAAAAAAAAGACAATGGGGTATAAATGTCAAAGTGGCCGTTTTTTTTAATTAAATGAACAAATATGCATATTGAAGTACAAAGGCATTTACACTGCAAACTAGTAACATAAATTAGGTTATAGTCACAAGCCCATGACTTTTCCCTGAATGCTTATTTAGAGCAGCTGATTTTTAAAGTTAGCAGAGTTCATCTTGGTAGTGGGTTCACTCACTCATTTAAAGATATTGGCCAGAGGCAAAATTTGTTTGAACAGCATGTGTAAATGTGTATTAAAATCTCAGATGAAGAAGGTTTTTGGATTTTGACGGCTGGAATTGTAAGAAAATCTGATGTTTGTGACCGGCGCAGGAAAAACAGAAACTAACGTCCGGTCTAAGCCCTGGGCAGCTGGTGACGTTTCACATGGAGCTCTGCTGAAACAGCTGTAGTAAACAACGCCTGGCTCCGGTGTTTCTGCGTTAGCGTTATAGCAGAGAACAATGTGTCATCAATCAGATGTAGCTTCTGAAGCCTCTACTAGTCGGTCAGTTTTGTTTTTTCTCTGGGATACGGCGACGAGAACGGATATTAGATTACTGGAGAAGTTCAACCGAACTCCGACCCCGCCAGCTGGATATCACTACCAGAGATGCAGACATGTTTTAGACCGTTTGACTCAGAAGACCTGCGACCTGATTTGGACATAGAGGAGGATTCTTTTCATCTTCAGAACCAAAATCGGTACAGTTTGTTTACTTTTCTTGAATATTTCATTTCTGTGCTCCACTGGGAGCTCTAAGCTGACGAGTTCTCAGCTGGTTTTAGCTCCATCATGTGTCCCAATATAGTTCAGTAATTGTTACACCCCTCTGTGGGCTCAGCTAGGAAGGTGAGGGGAATAAACATAAGATGGACCAGTATAAGAAAAAGTGACCCTCGTTGGGGAGAAAAAGGCTTGACCAAGCAAAACCAAACTCAAAGTGTCCTTGTAATTTCAAAGGTTTTATTACAAAAACAAAAGAACCAAAAGAAGGGCCAAAAAACCCTTACCTAGTTATCCAAACTAAGTTTAAATGAATAACTGAAAATGTCCAGAGGACCAACCACTCTAAATCCTAAATAAATGAAACTCAAAAGGGGAAAAATCCCACCCTTAAATTAAACAAGGTTTGTCTAAAAGACAAACCAAACAAAAGTACTAACCTAACTAAAGTTGTCCGAAATACCAAAATTGGCTCAGGAAACAGAGACTGCAAAAGGGGAAAACCCCACCTGGTAATTTACCAAAGGTGGTCTAAATGACTCACCAAAACCAAAAATTACCGCTTAACTGAAAATATCTCAAACACAAAAGGTTCTTAAGCTGCTTCTTCACAAGAAGCAAACCACAACCTGGTATTAACCACAAAATCTCTGGTAACCGCCAACGGGGAGAGAACACACGTTGCCTCTGCAACCACAAACATTTCTCTCCCCTGATGAGCTCCAGCTGGCTGCTTTTAAAGGGCCGGCTGATGAGGTGAAAAGTCCCAGCTGGCCGTGCCTGCCGCTCCGGCGCTGTCCATGGTGCTGGAGTAAGGACAACATCCCAAGGCGTAGCTGTCCGTGGTGCTGCGCTGCTGTACAGGGAACGGTGCGCAGCACACCACTGGGCTCCAAAGCGGCGGCGGCCGTAACATCCCCACCCTTAAAAGAAAAAAAAGGGGGGTGAGACAAAGAATCTAAAACCATACCTAAGACACCACCATCTTTTTTCTTAAAACTCAAGATACAAAAACTTAACAGTATCCTCCATTTACACACAACCAGGGCATCCCGCTAACTGCCTATGGGGGGAGCTTCTCTAACTCAACCCTTGCTCTTCATGCGGGTTAAGGCGGGCAGATTAAGCACATGTGTGTGTACACATACAAACCAGCAATGACGAGGGGTGTCTCATTGGCAAGCCCGTCCCCCATCACCCTGGGGTGCTCCCGTGATGTCTGCAAGACACCGACAACACTAGCCTCATGCCGCAACCCTAAAGAAAACAACAAACGGCAACACCCTAAAGAGGGTGAAGCCCTTGTGCCTACAAGGGGCCCTGGAAGGAGGAGTTAACACAAAATGTATCCATCTGTCATATTCGTAGTGGTTATTGGACGTTACAGGTTACCATAACTTCTGGACAACCGAGCGGTTCCATCCGGCTTCCTCTCCACCAGACAGGGTGAACTCCAGGGGCTCCTCAACATGATGCGCTAACATCTGAGTGGGCACATCAACAAACAGACTTTTCTGGAAAAGGCAGACATACTCCTGTACTTTTCTGTCAGGCGGATCAGAACAAAGAAATCTCTCTTTTAGAGCCTTCAGGGGACCACGAGGAGTGTGTCCAAACACAAGCTGGGCAGGACTAAAACCAGGAGAATCCTGCACAGCCTCACGAGCAGCAAACAACACAAAAGGCAATCCTTCTTCCCACGTTTTGTTTTTACTTAAGCAATACTTTGTCAGCATTGCCTTTAAAGTTTGGTGCCATCTTTCCAAAGCGCCCTGACTCTGAGGATGATACGCGGATGACGTGAGATGTGTGATTCCTAAGGTTTTTGTTACCTGTTTGAACAGTTTAGTTTTGAAGTTTGTTCCTTGGCCAGTCTGTATTACCTTTGGTAACCCAAAGATGGAGAAGAAATGGGTTAGAGCTCTGATTATAGACCTTGTGGTGATGGAGTTCAGCGGTATGGCCTCCGGAAACCTTGTAGCTGAACACATAAGGGTTAACAAAAATCGCTTTCCTGTTCGAGAAGGAGGTAAAGGTCCCACACAATCTAAGATGACATGGTCAAAAGGCGTACTCACTACAGGAATGGGCTGTAACGGGGCAGGAGGAATGGGCTGGTTCGGCTTTCCTGTCATCTGACAGACATGGCAACGCCGACAGAAGAGAGACACCTCTTTCTTCATCCCTGGCCAAAAGAAATGCTGCAACAACAGTTTATAAGTTTTGTTGACACCCAAATGGCCAGACCAGTCACTCTCATGTGCCAAGGAGACCACATGTTCTCTGTAAGAGGATGGAACAATTATTTGTTTCACTAACCCCCATTCCGAGCCCTCAGCTGCAGGCTGAGGCCAACAACGCACCAGCACATCACTATCTAATAAATAATGTGTTGTAGTTTTATCAGTTTTACCTGAAGTGGTCACCTGTTCAAAATAGGGTTTCAGAGTAACATCACTCTTCTGTGCAGCAGAAAGGGTTTCTGCCGTAAGTGGAAAAGGTTCTCCTTGCTGAGGATCAGCATCAGCCTTTTCTCTCTGCTCTTCTGCGTCGGATGAGGGAACAAACCAAAGTCCATCATGGGCTGTCTGTTCGGAGTCATCACCGAGGAGTCTCATCAGCACTGAGTCATTTAACTGGATGTCCGCATTATTCTGTGTTTGCGAACGGGTGACAGCACAAGCTGGGTAAAAATGCGAATCAGCAGCACAATTTACATGTTCGGCTTGAGGTTGAGAATCTACTTCTAAAAGAGGTAGCACTTTACCTCCAGCAACATCATTCCCCAACAACACATCAACCCCTTTTACAGGTAAATGGTCACAAATGGCAACATCAAAGCAGCCGCTAACGAGCTGACATTCTAGGTGAACGCGGTGCACCTGGGCAGGCAGGGATTTCATTTCAATTCCCTGTAACAAAACAGCGTACCCGCGTGAACTACTGGCTGAAAATGGGAGTGCGCTGCTCAGTATTAACGTTTGAGACGCACCTGTGTCTCTCAAAATGCGAACGCTTTTCTTGTCTGAATCACCGGGAGTCAACAAAATCTCCCCCGAAAGAATAAAAGGTGCAAAACAAGCATCAGGCTCCCTGGCGGCGCACAAGGGTTTAACCACTGGTGACTTTTTAAGGAATGCAACTTCCTTAGGAGCTGCAGTGGGCTTCCCGTTCTTTTTCTGCAACACAAAACAATCCTTAAGAACGTGTCCCGTTCGGTGACAATAGTAACAGGTACGGGTTTCAGGATTACCGTTTTGAGGGCTTCTTCTTATAAGTTTCTTTATCAAAACGGGCTGAACATCTTTTCTTTCATCTCTCCTCACAATCTCTCTGTGAGTGAGTGTGAATTCGTCCGCTAAAAGGGACGCAGCTGATAAAGTGCTGACTTTTTGTTCGTTTAAGTAGGTTACCAGTCTCTCAGGCAGCTTACGTTTAAAATCCTCCAAAAGGATAAGTTCTCGGAGATCATTCAAGGTTTTAATTTTTGTGGACGAACGCCATTTATCAAACAGCATGCTTATTTCTCGTGCAAATTCCACATGTGTTTGTCCAGCACTTTTCTTAGCTTGTCTGAATTTTTGACGATAAGCTTCTGGGATTAACTCATACGCTTGAAGTATAACAGCTTTCACTCGGTCATAGTCCAAACTATCTGTGACAGGGAGCGCAGACAGAACTTCTAAAGCTCTGCCGCTCAGCTTGCACTGGAGCAGCAGAGACCACACCCCGCGCGGCCACTGCAACGTCTCCGCAATTCTTTCAAAAGCTACAAAATAGCTGTCAACCTCGGCCTCTCTAAAAGTAGGCATTAAGGAAATGCACTTACTGATGTCAAAGGCCGGGGTTGTGGTGGGTTGCGGAGCTTTGGTGGGCATGATATGAAGTCCAGGGTTGGAAAGCTGGGCTTCCAGTTCCAGTTTCCTTATTCTCACAGCTGTGTCAGCTTCAATCTCCATCCTCCGAACCTCCAGTTCCATCTGGAGTCTTTTAGCCTAGGCTCTCTCCTCTCTTTCCATGTCCAGACGTGCCAGCCGCACCTGTAATCGTGCGTCTCGAGATCCTTCCGTCGGCGAACCTGGGGAGGTCGGAACAGACTTTCGTACTGTTAGAGGAGTTTCTCCTGTCTCCGTCGTCTCACCCTCACGATCCTCCGCAGCAGCAGGGACTTCAGGATTGTCGCACTCATCAGGATCTGCAGGAGATCCTTCTGGTTCAGTCTTTGCACCAGACTCATTCTCAGTCTTTAAAATCCCCATGTCCTCCAAACGCTCCACAACGAGCAATTTCAAGTCTTTTTTCAGCACAGGGTTTGGGATGTCAAGAGCAAGGTTGACAGCTATCTGCAGTAGGTCAGCCTTGCGGCAACGCTCCAGCACCTCACGGGATGGAGCCTCCATAAATGTCTCCACACAAAACTGAGCCATGTTTGAGCACAAAACAAAAGGACACTACACAAAACAGCGTGGGTTTTGTGTCTTCACAAAACCAACAAAAGCTACCATATGTTAAAACTAGTCCAAAACGTTTGGCACGGGCTTAACTGATCTAAAACAGGCCATAAACATGTAATAAACAGCTATAAATCAGTAAAGTCCCGGACGAGCCCCCATTTATGTTACACCCCTCTGTGGGCTCAGCTAGGAAGGTGAGGGGAATAAACATAAGATGGACCAGTATAACAAAAAGTGACCCTCGTTGGGGAGAAAAAGGCTTGACCAAGCAAAACCAAACTCAAAGTGTCCTTGTAATTTCAAAGGTTTTATTACAAAAACAAAAGAACCAAAAGAAGGGCCAAAAAACCCTTACCTAGTTATCCAAACTAAGTTTAAATGAATAACTGAAAATGTCCAGAGGACCAACCACTCTAAATCCTAAATAAATGAAACTCAAAAGGGGAAAAATCCCACCCTTAAATTAAACAAGGTTTGTCTAAAAGACAAACCAAACAAAAGTACTAACCTAACTAAAGTTGTCCGAAATACCAAAATTGGCTCAGGAAACAGAGACTGCAAAAGGGGAAAACCCCACCTGGTAATTTACCAAAGGTGGTCTAAATGACTCACCAAAACCGAAAATTACCGCTTAACTGAAAATATCCCAAACACAAAAGGTTCTTAAGCTGCTTCTTCACAAGAAGCAAACCACAACCTGGTATTAACCACAAAATCTCTGGTAACCGCCAACGGGGAGAGAACACACGTTGCCTCTGCAACCACAAACATTTCTCTCTCCTGATGAGCTCCAGCTGGCCGCTTTTAAAGGGCTGGCTGATGAGGTGAAAAGTCCCAGCTGGCCGTGCCTGCCGCTCCGGCGCTCTCCATGGTGCTGGAGTAAGGACAACATCCCAAGGCGTAGCTGTCCGTGGTGCTGCGCTGCTGTACAGGGAACGGTGCGCAGCACACCACTGGGCTCCAAAACGGCGGCGGCCATAACAGTAATCTACAGTTTTACTGCTGTGTGTGTTTATTGACATAACTCTGGAAAATAATGAACCTACAATTTACCAGAATAAATCTTCCTGATGCTGGAGTAACTCCTTAGCTCAACTCGTTGTTTGCACTAATCCAGGATGTCATGGAGGTTCTAATGTTGAAATATAGAGATCATCTTTTAGATTATATCTCTGTGTGTGTGTGTGTGTGTGCGTGCGTGCGTGCGTGCGTGCGTGTGTGTGTGTGTGTGTGTGTGTGTGTGTGTGTGTGTGAGTGAGTGAGTGAGTGAGTACGTGCATGTGTGTGTGTGTCGTAGCTTTCCCAAAGGACTTGTTCTTTCCTTACCGAAGCGAACACGGTTAGTTTTGCTGCAGTCATGCTAACGGGACTCGTCTGGAGTCCAGAAGTAGCGGTGCGGTTCTAGATGGATTTATAGATGTAGGTTATTATTTTAGATCAGACCTGTTATTTAAAAATGTGTGTAGGACACAGACAGATGGCTCAGACCTTTTGCTGCAGCTGTAAACACAATTTTACGTAATAATTAGGAGCATGAAAGTAAACAAATAACAGTGATTCACAATATTAGCATCAGCAGCTAGCTTGTTTTACGTGCTGGAGTGACGTATGCGAAACACAGTTCTTCACTGTCTGGAGGAGAGGATTTGGATTTTCTTTAATGATTTATGACAAAAGTCCTTAATAAAATAAAAAACTGGACCCAGTACATGTTTATATAGATGGTAAAGTGTAGTTATTTTGCATTTCTACAATTTTAATGCCGAGCCAATACCTTTAACCCTTCACCACTGAAATCAGTTTGTTCATTCCAATCCTCCTAAATAATCCTCCAATAATCCAACTGGAATCCTTAAGGGTCCCGTAACGTCCATCCTGTCAGAACAGGCCTTGGGAGCCCAGGTGTTACTAGAACTAATGGTGTCTCCTCACCAGCGTGAGCCTCCAAACTGAAGGTTGGTCTCCAAACATGAACTTTAAATTCATGCATTTATCTCCTCTTGTAACACTTTAACATGTTTTAAAAGGCTTGTATCATGATAAGTTACACCTCCCAGACCAAAGATAGGTCCAATATAAGATAAAACCTTATCATAAACACTGCAGACATCATTGTTTATTAAATACAAGTTATTTTCCTGAGCCATTACTACAGCCAAGATATAGGATGCATGGATTTGATGAAGCCATGCTGTCTTATGCAGTCCCACACACACACACACACACACACACACACACACACACACACACACACACACACACACACACGCACGCACGCACACACACACACACACACAAACACAGCAGCATGTTAGAATCATTTGAATGACTAATTTAGCTACACTGAACTGCTTTTGTAATAATTTAATCTCTTATTCTGGAGTAAAATAAAGAAACAAGCTAAATCATCACATATCTGTGGCATCAAGAAGCATCTTCTGAGATCAAACACAGGGATGGAGCACAATGTTTACACCTGAACAGTATCAGGATTAACTCACAGAGGCCTGCAGGTCTTCTGTTTTATGAGCAGAGCGCTGATAATCGGCTTCTTAGGAGCGCTAAACGTTATTTTGCCACTTCCGTGCGCGGTAAGGAAACACATTTCAAACACGGAACCGAGTCTGGTTGCCGAACCGAGCAGAATTCTGATGACGTCACACCGGTGCGCGAAGGTGCGGGTTCCAACCCACAGGAGAGGAGGGAGAGAGGAGGTAAACAGCGAGTGGATCACAGGGACTGTATTGATGTTTTTGAGCAAAACTGCGGTAAAAATGGCTGTTTGTCCTCATCATAAAGCGTGTAGCCCCCCCCCCCCCCCCCCCCCGGTTTAGACGTGGCGCTCATGCAGGTGTCTTTCTGTTCCAACGCTGCTACACGTACTATTTTTAATTTACTAAGCCTACAATTTATTTTTACTCAGTAACGGATATCATTTAAAATGTAGCGAATTACAATTCTTTTTTAAAAACTTACTCAAGTAAAAGTAAAAGTACAGATTTTAAAAACGACTTAAAAAGTATAAATTTACAAAAAAGCTACTCAATTACAGTAACGTGAGTAAATGTAATTCGTTACTTTCCACCTCTGGATTTCATTTGCATTGCTGGCAGTGGGCAGTCGTCTGCAGCAGTGGTTATCAAGAATCTCTAATAATTCTTCTTGGTCAACACTGCTAAAATCTGCTTGCCATGGTTGAAACACTGTGCGCTCAGATTCAGGCATGTACTTCAGAAAATTTTCCACCACATCACTTTTTACATGTCCAAAGGCAGCCTGCTCTAATATGACAGGTGCGATCCCCACAGGAAGATATTTCTGTCTTGTCCAGCCAAAAGCGATTATTCGGCCTACACTCTCCCACTGCTCCTGTCCATAATCGTGTCTTAGAAATGGAACTTTATAAGCATTTCCTGTGGTACACTGCTCATAAAAATCTTTCCAGAATTCAATGAGACAGTCTCTCACAACTCCTCCTTCATCAAATGCCATCTCAGGTTTTCCATCAGGCAGGACAAGTTGGATTCTGAAGTTACTTTCTAGAATTTTATCATCACAGAAGTGTAATATGAGCTGCCGAAGTACCTGTCCTCTGTGAACAACCAGTATTTTCTTCACTGGCTCTGCTAAGGACAGGGTTTGTGGAGACAGAGGTAGAGTATCATCCAGAATCTGTGGCTCACTCTCAGAAAACTCCCCCACAAATACAGTGTTACTGGTATCCTCATCCATGAACTCTGTGGAATGAAATGTTAATTCAATATTTTCGTCATTTGTGGAATTTTCGAAAAATATCAAGTCAGTAGTGACTGTTTCAGATTCTGTAGCCTGAATGATTGTAGCATCATTAAAAGCTGAAGAAGAGGAGGGATGACTGTGAGAACTGTTGTGGTCCTGAGCAAATGGTGAAGACTCTTCATCTTGACAGTTTGAGTGGGTTTCCATCTTTTTACGTGTGGTCAGATAAAACCTGATAACCGGGAGTTTTGTATCAAAGTAAAGTTGTCCTACTGTAATGTTGTCATCAACTGCCACTTCCTGATAATCTCTGAGATCTACCTCAAAATCTGCTAAGGACCCTTCTCTATTTCTCCCATTAGGAAAGAATAGATCAACTGCCATCTGAATTATGTCATTTTTCTTTGCATCTTTTGATACATCCACCCTCCTTGTTCCACCTCCTCTTTTTGCTCTCACTTGTTTAAAAGCCTCTATTTCTTCATCGTAGATCATCCAGCCTAGTTCTATTTTCCTCTTTGACTTAAGAGCATTTTTCTTTACAGGGGTTGCAGATTGCTCTTCTTGTTCTGTACTGCTGCCATCTTCATCAGCAGTTCTTCTTCTTTTATGCAGTTTTGATTTAAGGCGCTCAAAAAGCTTTGTTTTGCGCCAGTTTGGGTATCCATTTTCCTTTCTCCTACAATAACCTAACAGTGCAAGGCGGTCTCCATATGATGGCAAATAACTCTTTAATTGTTCATCTGTCATCAACTGGATGATGCTGGTATCGATCTAAATGAAGACAGTGAAATATTATTGTTTAAAAACTAGGGCCGGGACTTTAACGCGTTAATTACGATTAATTAATTAGAAAAAAATAACGCGTTAAAAAAAATTAACGCATTTAATCGCAGCTTGCATTTCAAGCATGGCGGAACCTTTGTCATTGCACGTTTTCCTCGTAGACCGAATATCACTGACGCACACAACAATGCACAGTGGCTAATGGCTACTAAAACGAAATAAAAACAGAAAGAAGTTGCCTTGCTTGGACTGATGCAGGATTTAGGAAACACAACCGCCTCTTTTCTTAACTTGGAAAATAAAAACTTCCAGACAACAACGGAGTCCGTGTCGCGGACATTTTTCAGAGATCATCTCTGCTGCGGCTGCCCGCCCGGTGGCACCGGAAATTTTACAAAAGTTGCGGTAAGCTATATTTTTAACATTTACGTAACATCTGTGCAGCGCTGAAAGCACCAGACAATAATTCTGTGCCCTAACAGTAGTTTATGAAAGTAGGCAGATAAACGAGAGGCACCTGGCTGCCGCTGGGAGAACGCTCCGTGTTCTCACTACTCTAAAAAATCACAAACAACGTGTCTTAAAGTTGAAAACAGAAGTTTAAGTTAAAACAGAAATACTCTGAAACTTTTCTGATGATTTTCTAAACAATTCTGTCGGGGAGTTATGTTTCTGAGACGAGTCGCTGTCTAAACATTACATGCATTACTATCAGGGGCAGCGAGGAACGAGGAAGTTGTGATCAGGCTGGAGATCACACCAGATTTGCTGCTGCAGGCGTGAATCTGCGGGTCGGCAGCATACCCTTATTAACGTGACAGCAGAACTTCCCATGTAAGGAAGGTCCGCTCACCTGTTCGTCAGATCATTATTTCCTCGCCATGATCTTTTATCATCCCATCAACCTCCAGTCATCCAACTGGAACCAGTTACTGTTCCTGATCATTCTCAGAATATGCCATGCCTGCTCTGGTGTTAAAAGTTAGTACATTTAAGTACTAGATCATATCTGTGCCTGTTCTACTGTCATTTTGAAGGATTATTATTTATGTGTTTTTACTACATTATGAGCAGAAATGCTAATAAAATCTCCCAATTATACAAACAAGTGAAACTGGAAAAATTAGAATCTGGTGCAAAGTCAAATTTATTTCAGTCATTCAACTAGACAGATAGACTATTTAAAGGCTCAGGAACCATTTGCAGGTGTTTTCTATTTGTAATTATAAATTTTAGTTGATTTGGGTTTTGTTTCATATCACACAGTGACATGTGAATAACTAAAATGCATTTTTTTATTAAAAGCTTTAGTTTACAGTAATAACCATGTCTAATGTTTGATTCTCTGTCTCATAATTTTAATTAAAAGTTTTACTTTGAGAGCGCATTTTCCTGAACGATTAAAATGTGATTAATCGAGATTAATTAATTACAAAGCCTGTAATTAATTAGATTAATTTTTTAATCAAGTCCCAGCCCTATTAAAAACACAATTATAGCAACATAATTGCATGTGATATTATTGAAATTTAATTAGATGATATTGCAAGAAACATGCTTCCCGTTCCCACAATATTTTTGAATTTTTTTAAATGTTCATCAAAGTACCTTCTCTCTCAACATGGTCTCTATAGTTTCCTCAGGAATGTTCCTTTGTCGCAGGAAATCCCAAAGGTCATCCATTCCGTGACCATACACTGAAAGGAAAGATATGAAGAACAACAACATAGATATTTCCAATATAACATAAAAAAATCCATGCAACATACTTTTACAACCATGGAGTTAGTCATAATGCCAATCAGTTCTCAGTGTCAAAGTGAATCTTACAGCATTTCAACATTTTACTAAATTCCACGGACAGGCAGGAAGTTGATTATTTTTTTTATTCTGAAATCTTTTTTCTTATTTTCTGTGAAGGGTTATGCTTTTACATTGATTTACTTTACTGGTAAATAATTTTCAAAACATCATATTTATCAAAATGGAAAAAAAAAACTTGATTAAATAGTGATTGTGATTTGACATAAAATACATTGTGATGATTTTTTTCCCATATCAACTACCCCTAGTACCATACAGCTTTAGGCACATAATATAAGAGGATCAGTTTGTATGTAAGTTGAAATGATTTGAATAAAAGCATTTAAAACAACTGACAACTCCAGTGATCATCCCTGCCCCACTGCAACATTATATGTGGGTTTTATTTCACTTCCTTTGCTTTAAACTAGGCTGTTTTTTTAATTGAAATATGTTATTTATTTTAGGTTTCTTTTCTAATTTTAACCTTTATTGTTACTTATGCTTTCTCATAAGTGTCTTCAGCACTAATTTTCATGGACTGAAAAGATAAGGGGTTAATCAACTCTTTGGATGTTCAGTCCAATGAAGAAAGTACTTACTCCATGAGTACTGGTACATCATATTAAAAACTCTGACAAATATATGCTGTTGAAACTTTATTTTCCTGTATTTGCAAATACTAATTTTTACTCACCTGAGTACTCTAGTCCTTCTGCTGTGTCTTTTGGCTGTCCTTCAGCTGTATAGCACCAACTCACAAGTGGAAGATGCACAGTTCTTTCCTAGTCCTGCAACAAATCACATATTTGCAGTTTAACATAAAAAAACACAGACCGGAAGGTAATGTTTTAGAATAGCAAATGTACCATGTAGACATTAAATAGTGGTGAGAAGCAGTCTCTAAAAACTATTTAGGAACACCGGAATTTGTTTGTCCTACACTAAACATTTATTATTAGAGCTAATTGAAATGTACTGACTTTGTTTTATGGATAGGTAGTGTTTTCTTTGACTGTTATATTTTAGCTGTAACCAAAGACCTAGAATGACGCTGGCTAAAACAAGCTCAGTTTTTAGCATACACTGTATAATGTTACACATTTATGCGGTGCGCTAACATTAAAAACGGTTAACCTGATGTATGTCAAGTCAAAATGTATACACATTATTTATAAGGGAAAAAAATTATAATTACATACCTATATAACTGGCATACCAGTTCTTCAGTTACATGAAGTCCTTGATCATCCAAAGAGCTAACAGTCTGCCTAAAGCCAAGTGGGCTCCATTCCCGCTCAGATCGGAGGCCTGCCGATTACGTCATACTACGGCAAATCCACTCGGACAAACTTCATTGCACATCTTTTTTTCATACCTTTCTTCCACACATTGGTTCTGAGCTGAGAAGAGTTTAGCAGGTTTTCTAGAAAATATGTTTCTTACCACCTACATGTTTTCTTTAAAGCTGTCATTTGCTAATGTAACCCCATTATTTTCATTTTGTAAAGAATGTGAAACTACCCAAAAACTCTGACAACAGTTCTTTTGGGATATTTTAAAGTATTCTTATGTATAACTCGTTAGTTATTATGTTGTACATTTTATTTCTTAAATCTAATTTACTTTAATTATTTTATCTGCTGTTTTATGTTGTCACATCAATTTGAATGTTTTATGTTCTTGCTGGAAAAATCATTAATTGCTCAGGTTTGTGCTAGACAAATGAAGCTGCCTTGCTAACTGTCCAAAAAAGCTCTTAACTAATTATATTTTGACTCATGTCATGTCAATGGTGTGTGTGTGTGTGTGTGTGTGTGTGTGTGTGTGTGTGTGTGTGTGAGAGAGAGAGAGAGAGAGAGAGAGAGAGAGAGAGAGAGAGAGAGAGAGAGAGAGAGAGAGAGAGCAAACTAGCACGGTACACCCTGGACAGGTAGCCGTTATTTACATGTTACTATTTACACATAGGAGAGAGAGAGAGAGAGAGAGAGAGAGAGAGAGAGACAGAGAGAGAGAGAGAGAGAGAGAGAGAGAGAGAGAGAGAGGAGAGAGGAGAGAGAGAAAGAGAGAGAGAGAGAGGAGAGAGATCAGCAAAGTACAATTCTTAGGTGTGTTCTTGCTGTGTCTTTCTAAATCCATGCTTTCGTTCTTTTTTTAAACACAGAAACAGTTTTGTTTACCTGTTTGTAGCAACAGTTTCGCCGACAGCTGCCGGCTTCTTCAGGCTGACGCTGATGGTGGCGCGTCACTTCCTTCTCCGTTTATCTGCGGGCAGCAGAGGACGTTGTCGCCCTCTACTGCCCGCTCTCCCCTCTCCGACGATGCAGTCCCATGCGTGGTCCAGCGTGTAAACTCCGTCGTCCCTGTTCATCAAGGAACATCAAGGATCAAGGAAGCAATCGAGATAAGGAGACGTGGATGTGGGACCATGAACAGGGACGACGGAGTTTACACGCTGGACCACGCATGGGACTGCATCGTCGGAGAGGGGAGAGCGGGCAGTAGAGGGCGACAACGTCCTCTGCTGCCCGCAGATAAACGGAGAAGGAAGTGACGCGCCACCATCAGCGTCAGCCTGAAGAAGCCGGCAGCTGTCGGCGAAACTGTTGCTACAAACAGGTAAACAAAACTGTTTCTGTGTTTAAAAAAAGAACGAAAGCATGAAAGTACAATTCTGTCCTTATTGTTTTTACTTTTCCCACTGATGCAGAGCCGAGACGTAGGTGGTTGTTGCTATTCACAGGGACAAATTTAATGTAACACAACACACCTGTGCTTGTAGTCGGCACTTCAATGCTTATGACATCCATGAACTTAAGGATCTGGATACCAGAGGAGGAGATAAGGCCAAATCTGCCTGTAGACTTTTAGGACTACCCAGACACCACAGTCATTCTTGACTGCACTGAGCTGAAGTGTCAATGTCCATCTTCCCCTCTCCTCCAGAGTGAGGTGTTTTCCTCCTACAAAGGAGCCTGATGTCTGAGCACCTCGAGTCATGTAGGGCAACCACACTGTCTATTTACACACTTCCATAAAGGTACTGCATTTAAAGCTTTCACTCAGATGATCTTCAACGGTGCTGTGCCCTTCTGAGGGCTTGAGATGCGGTACCTTTACAAAACCTCTGCAATAAAGTAAGTTATGATTAATTTCTCAATTGATAGTTCTTAAAATAAAAAAAAAACCTATGTCATGCTTAAATGTGTATTTGTATGTTTAAAATGGTTTTGTAATAAAAAAGAAATTGAAAGTTTTTGGTTTCAAATGCTTCTGTGGTAAATAAAATAAGTAATCGGTTTTTGTTTAGTCTTCTTTAATTCATTTAATTTAAATCTTATCTTATGAAACTAAACAGAAGCCATTTAAAAATGATTACTCATCTAGCAAACAAAACATCACAAACAAGAAAATGCAGAAATATTTAATTTTACTGCAGATTTACATTGAATTTCCTCCACAGTAAGTCTTTACATTTAAACAGCAACAAAAACATTACAATAGTGTCTGTATGACTCCATGTCACGGGGAACTCGCTGAATAAACATGTCATCTGTGGTGTAAACAACAAAGTCACACCACTCACATGGAGAAATCAACAGTCAACACCGACCTGCCAGTAATGAGGATGAGATCGCCACAGAGAGTAAACCTTTTCTGAGCATAATAGTCCACAAAGCTACACACATTTAGGCATTTTATTTCCAACAGGCCACACTCAGGCTGCCCTCATACATAATCCCATCGGCTGTTGAACCCATCCATGGTGCCTCAGGGTGGATCAGGACCCCACATGGGTAGTGGTTTACCTCTCTTACCTTGCAGTACTCCTTGATGGCTGTAGGCTCCAAAGCAAGACCCCAACATTTGTCATCAGTCTGACTACTTGTTCCCATAGGCTGTTTCACAAGGTTCTCAGCAGAACCTTCTGCCCTGGTGTGACACACTTATCTAAATTTTGTAGAAGTGATGTGGCATCTCCTTAGTTGGTGCCCCTCCACACAGAAACTCTGCAGTTGTGTTCTGTTCTCAGCTTTGTATGATTTCCCCAATGATGTTGTGAGGGATGTGAAATGATGATGTTCAGTAAACACAAATGCATATGCAGAGGGTCCCAGTCTATAATGAGAGAGAGACAGTTGTGGGAGAGAAGGGTTGTCTTTGTGTGGACGCGTCCTGGGGGCCGTCCTCACCGGTAGTTGGTAAGATGGCCCGCTTCCCTCCTGCACCGAACCAAACGTGGACCCTACCAGAGGTACATCACCAGAGACAGCCATGGTTGTCATCACCGGAGCCTCATCTGCACCAAGTCTGTGGTACGCCTCCTGCACCTTCAGAATGAAGCTGTCTGTCATCGGGGAAGCTGACTCCTTTTTACAAACTGCTTCTGGGGAAGAAAAACAAAAGTCAAATGGGGTGTGTGCATGTGTGTGTGCGTGCAGTCCAGAAAGAAAAACATACCTTGTTCATTCTACCGGTCTTTTCTCTCTTGGTCTGGCTGATATGATGACCATGTCATTAACTGGACATGGTTTAATACCTTGTTTCCAAATAAAAACAAGTTTAAAGGTTATAACAGAAATATGTATACACATAATAATAGTATCATTAAAAGATTGTAACCTTGGTCCCCGTTTTGTGCCACTGTTGTCCAGTTTCTGTGCAGCTCAACACTGGGGGGGGGGTGGGGGGGGGGGACCGATGTAAGTTTCAGCTGGGAGAAATGTGCCGTCTGGTAGAGTTGAGCTGCCACATGACATCACAAGGCTGCACCTGCCACACGTACACTGGCACCACCACTGGCTTTGAATCCCTTAGTACAATCTGTTACAACACAGAATATTTGTTAGAGTACAACTTCATTTAAAGAGAGACAAACATTGATGATTAACTTCACTTTATTCATTTTAAAATAGAAGAGTAGAACAAGTAATGGAAAAAAATAAAATAACTGTAAACAATGTTGTGCTTCTGCGAGTCATCTAATGTCTGACTTTCTGTGACATGCTATTTATACAAACTTTACTTACTATATTCTTTCTGGGACACATTTTATCTCTGATACCACATGACACACGTAGTTCAGGCATGTCATTAACCTGTTATCAAACTAAAAGCAATGATATGACTCGCAAAAATGTGACGTTTAAAAACATGAACAGTCTTCTTTTGAACCTGAATCAATCCTGCACTGAACCTGCAGGGTAACGGTTTCCTACACTCAGACGGTGGGGCTTCTGGTTTTTCCTCATTGACCTGAAACACTCGGACCTAACCGTGACCTCTCCTGACTGCATGATTAAAACTGAGAATAACATATGAACTGTTGGTTTTTTTTCCTTTCATTTCAGACACGAAAAACACGCATGACCTTACTTATCACTCCAATAACGTTTCCTTGTTGTGCTAACTTAGGCTAGTGGAGAGCTAGCATGTAGCATCTTTAGTAACTCAGAGCAGAAGTTTGTTAGCTTACCTTCATAGCTGTGTAAGTAGCCGGGCACATACAATACAAGCTTTGTCCATACTAGATTTTGGCATTTCGGACGAGGCAAGAAAGATTCGGTGTACATCGTTAACTATTACTCTTGGGAGGTCTTGCAGCAAACGCGTACAAATAGCCATTCTGACCACTCAGCGCGAACGAAGTTGTGTGCTGCAGGTTGAAAAATACGGAAGTGCAAAAACGGAAGTCCGTGGAGGCCAGCAGAATTTATCTCATAATTATGAGATACTATCTCATAATTATGAGATAGCTAAGTCATAATTATGAGATAGCTAAGTCATAATTATGAGATACTAAGTCATAATAATGAGATACTATCTCATAATAATGAGATAGCTAAGTCATAATTATGAGATACTAAGTCATAATAATGAGATCCTAAGTCATAATTATGAGATACTAAGTCATAATGAGATCCTAAGTCATAATAATGAGATAATCAAGTCATAATAATGAGATAGTATCTCATAATGAGATAGCTAAGTCATAATTATGAGATAGCTAAGTCATAATAATGAGATAGTATTTCATTATTATGAGATAGTTAAGTCAAAATAATAAGATAGTATCTCATAATAATGACATAGTATATCATTATTATTATATAGGAGCTGCACAGAAATAATGAGATAGTATCTCATTATTATTAGATAGCTAAGTCATAATTATGAGATAATAATTTTTTTTTAAATTTTATCTGAGTGGCGGGAATGGGCTTCCATAGTAATGCGCTTTTAACAAATTCGAATCTTACACTATTAGACATTTAGCTTTTTAAGGACTTGTTAAAAACTTTGCCATTTAGGAACATCAATGTTAATTTTTTTCTCTAACATAATTCTCTAAATACCTTGGCTAAATCCTGCTGTGTACAGTTCAGCCTTAAGAATTGTCCATTGATCAGGGATCAAGTCCACATCCACTCCAGCAGACAGCAGAAGAGGTCGGAAGTGACTTGTGAGCTTGTTTATCTCCTCATCACCAAAATCTGAGAACAAGGGAAAACATTACTACAAAGTTCAGAAGTTGTCGTAAATCATAAAATGCATTGGCAAGATGTGTCCACCACTAACCGAAACTCGTGTCTGCCTCTGGCCAGCACTGGAAACTGGTCAGTCGCATAGCATGCAGGACACCACTGTTCCCATCACTAAATCTCGCAGTGATGCATTGACACAGAGAACCGATCAACTCGTTCTTTGCCTTGTTGTGCTGGCCAGCATCAGAAGGCTTCAGAAGGACTCCCTCATATGTGTCTGTGTCCAGCACTGATCTCAGCTTAGGCCCAGGTCTACAGTTGTGCAGATAGATTGATGGGCGTCATTTCATC